GCGGGCTCAAGCAATCCACTCACCTCAGCCTCCCAAAGGCGTGGGATTACAGGCTGAGCCACCAAGCCCGGCTTATATTGTTTTTATGTAGGCGAACGTCCCTGTTCTTGGGAGAAACCCATAAAAGTAGTAAAAGGGGCATGATGTTTATAACTTTCAAATAATTTAGAAGGGAAAAAAATGTATATATAAAACTTAGGGGAGGGGTCGGGCAAGGCAAATATGGCAAAAGGTTGGCAACCAGTTACCCCCAAGTGAAGGGTAGAAAATCCCCAGGATTTCTTTGTCCTGTTCTTGTAACTCTCTCATGAGTCTGAGAACATTTCCAGAAAAAAAGGGTTTGTGCTTCTAGAAGAGGCCACCGTACAAGGTAGAACGCTGCTCCGTGAGCCGCACGGCCGACTGGCAGCCGATGAGGTGAGCCGTGAAGGACGCAGACACTATTGGGAACACGCTCACAGACGGGACACAGTGCGGCCAGCAGGCTCCCGTCTGGAGAGAATGTCCATCGTGGTTTATGCAGGCCACAGTTCAGTCCACAGAGGACACTCCCACAGCCAAGAAGGCGATGGAAAAGTGAACCAGGTGACAGGGACGCCAACCCACAGCACCTCTCCCGCAGAGCAATCGCTGTGTAAAGAATCAGAACACGGCCAGGCACGGTGGCTCACACCTGTCATCCCAGCACTTTGGGAGGCAGAGGCAAGAGAATTGCCTGAGTCCAGGGGTTCGAGACCAGCCTGGGAAACTTGGTGAGACCTCGTCTCTACAATAAATCAGCCAGGCATGGTGGCGTGCACCTATGGTCCCAGCTACTTGGAAGGCTGGGGTGGAAGGACCGCCTGAGCAAAGCAGGTCGAAGCTGCGGTGGCCGTGAGAGTGTCACTGCATTCCAGCTTGGGCCCGACAGTGAGACTTCAACTCCAAAAAAAGAAAAAGAACACACCAGCATGCCAGGCTCTGACTTGTTTCTTCCAACACACAGGGCTTCTGAATGTCACAGCACTCTGGAGTGATTCTGAACAAAGAAGCAGCCCCAGCGATTCAGAAGACACCTGAGCATCTCGCAAAACCTCAGAGCCCTCACGACAAACGTCACTTATCCCACACCAATTAGAAAGATGATCACGCTTCTCCTTTCCCCCAAGAGAATGCACTCAGTGACAGCCAAGCCGGAGAAGACAGCCCACTCCTGATGGCTGCAGGCCATCCGAAGGGTCCAAGTCAACTTCGCTGACAACCTTAGCCACAGAAACAAACACGGAAATCCCCCAGGGTCACACAACCTCCGCCTTCTCCATCCTGCGCTGTAAGACAACAATGTGGCTGGATGCTGAGAAAATTGGAGACGCGTGAGGAGGCAGGGTCAAGGGCGGGTTTCACACCCAGAGACGTCCTCTCCAGAGATCTGAAGAGAACCGCATTGATCCCGTTGAGATGCCCATGGTGTCCCCCTGCCTGAAGGGGAAAACGCCTTCACTTACTCCTTCCGTGAGCTACACAGCTGCAGAGTACACCAGGACCGTGCGCTGCAGTGGTTAGAGTGCTAACTCTCTACACGGTGAACTAGTTGGGAATGAGATGGGCCTGGTTGTGAAACCCAGTTCCCCCACTCACGAGCTCTGATCTTGGGCCACGTGGGGCTCCTCTCTGTGTTGCTATTTCCTCAGCTGTGTAAAGGGGATAATAATTCCAACTTCCCAGGGTTTGGGAAAAGGCTCAAAGATACAAAGCAAGTTCTGAATACAACTATCAATTATTATTATTATTGTGACATGCAGACCAAAATGGAGGTCGGATACCAAGAGGTAAGTGCTGTCTGACATGGCCATTCGCAAATGTTGCTGCATGTTAAAACCACCTGGGGAGCTTGTAAAAGTCCCAGTACCCAAGTCACACCCCAATAATCTCACGCTCTCTTGGGAAGATGCTCAGAAACCGGTCTAGGGTACATTTCCCATCTCCATGGGCGATTCCGAGGCACAGCCATGTCTGAGAACCAAGGATGAGATATGCCCAAGGCTCTGTGAAAGTCTGGAAGAAGAGAGTGCCAGTCCTTGCTAGAGGGGATGGAAGGACTTGGGAAAGGGTTTATGAAAGAGATGCCTTTGAAAGCAAGGTGAGGCGGGGTGCAGCAGCTGCCACCTGTAATCCCAGCACTTTGGGAGACCCAGGTGGGAGGATTGCTTAAGCCCAGGAATTCAAGACCAGCCTGGGCACCATAGCAAGACCTCGTCTCTATAAAAATAAAAAAATCAGCTGACTGGGTGTGGTGGCTGCCACCTGCAATCCCAGCACTTTGGGAGACCAAGGTGGGAGGATTACTTAAGCCCAGGATTCGAGACCAGCCTGGGCACCATAGCAGGACCTTGTCTCTAAAAAAAATAAAAAAGTTAGCTGGTCAGGTGCAGTGACTCACACCTGTAATCCCAGCTCTTTGAGAGGCCAAGGTGGGAGGATCGCTTGGGCCCAGGAATTCGAGACCAGCCTAGAAAATATACTGAGATCTTGTCTCTACTAAATAAATACATACATAGATACATGCATGCATGCTTGCATACATACATAAATCAGCAAGCAAGCTGGGCATGGTGGTACATGCCTGTAGTCCCAGCTACTTGGGAGGCTGCAGTGGAAGAATGGCCTGAATCCAGGAGGTAGAGGCTGCGGTGAGCCGGGATCGTGCCACTGCACTCCAGCCTGGGTGACAGAGTGAGACCCCGACTCAAAAATAGAACAAGGGATACACCGTACAATTACACTCATGAAATACTGAAGAAGAAGAAACAGGAACAAGAGCCAGCCAGCGGTCGCCGGGCGGGGCAGCACGGCAGATGCTCTCCAGGGCGGTACAGGGGGCTGGTGCGCAGCGAGGCGGCTGTCCTGCATCTCAGTGGCAGTGACGCTTACCCAAGAACATGCGTCTGTCAGAACCCACAGGAGAGAGACCTCATCTCTACAATAAATCAAAAATGAGCCAGGCGTGGTAGCGCGCGCCTGTAGTTCCGGCTACTCGGAAGGCTGAGGCGGAAGGATCGCCAGAGCCCAGCAGGTCGAGGCTGCGGTGGCCGGGAGCGGCCACTGCACTCCAGTCTGGGTGACAGAGTGAGACTCCAACTCAAAAAAAAAAAAACCCACAAGACTCTAAAAAGGGCGAATGTCACTGTGTGTCAATTGCACCTTGATTTGTTTTTGCGAGCAAGAAGATTTCACTTACTGGAGGTGACACTCACAAGCCCCTTTTAAACCCCAGCCAGAGCGCCGCGACAAAGTCTTGACCTCAGAATGTCGCTCTCTCCCGTCCCTACGGCCAGGGACAAGTTGCCACTTGGCATTTCTTGCCCAGCTTCTTCATCACATCTTCCTCGTGCCACCGGCAGGAAGGGATTTAGATTCTCTTTCTGGAATCACTGTGACTCCAGAAAGCATCTGTCTTCCTCCCTCACGAAATACTGGCTGACTCAAGCCACGGCAAGGATGGCCTGGCCCCCGGGGGAGGAGGTCCCATCCTGGGATCCGGGCCCGTCCTCTGCCACCCACCGTCCCCCAGCGTCCCCGGCAGTAGCTTGAAGAGGCCAGATTACAAGCCTTGATTCTGGGCACACCAAGCCACCATGTCTTAGAAAAGAGGCGGTGTTTGACCCCAGAGATGAGCTGCCCAGGGTTTTAAGCCTCCCATTAAACTGCAACATGCAACCGGGCTCGGTGGCTCAACCCGTAATCCCAGCACTTTGGGAGGCTAAGGTGAGTGGTTTGCCTGAGCCCGCGGGTTCAAGACCCGCCTGGGCAATTGGCGAGACCTCATCTCTACAATAAATCAAAAATCAGCCGGGCGTGGTAGCGCGCGCCTATAGTTCCAGCTACTTGGAAGGCTGAGGTGGAAGGATCGCCGGAGCCCAGCAGGTTTGAGGCTGAGGTGGCCAGGAGCAGGCCACTGCACCCCAGCCTGGGCAGCGGAGTGAGCCGCCATCTCAAAATAAATAAATAAATAAGATAACATAAACAGAAAGGTACCTGTTTGGATTCCTAGCTGGCTGGTTCTGGAAGAGGCTGAGAGAAAGTCCTGATCCCAGATGGGAGAGTTTTGACTATAAACTTCTTCCTCTAACATGGACAGAAACCTAGACACAGAGCAGAAGCAATGGTGAGATTGAAAGAAAACCACAAAGCAGAAAGCATAGGTATTCCCAGTCACCTAAGCAATCATCGTAACGCCGGTGTCTCACCTCCAACTCGGAGGTAGAATTGGGAATTTTGACTCACATGGCGACTGAGTTGGGTGGTATGGTCAAAGACAGAAATGAATTTCTACAGATTTATCCTCTTTTGACCCTGCACAGCTTGACACAACACAGGGCACACCAAGCGCTGCATCAATGGACTTGCATTTGTCCCCCTGAGGCTCAGAGTGAGACCCCAGCCCCCTGTATAGCTGTCATTGTCACCATCATCACCATTGCAAAAGTCGTCAATATTTATCAAGTACTTCCCTTGAGCCTGCACTGCTCTAAGACTTCATATCGAATCTTCAGATCAACCCTATGAGTTACGTGCTTTATTTTTATCCGTCACACACACGTAGTGCTCTTGCCACGTGACAGATAGTGTTGTAAGTGGTTGACATAGATTAACTCACTTGATCTTCATAGTGACCCTATGAGATAAAATCTATTACTTTACCCTTTTTTTTTTGAGTTGGAGTCTCACTCCATCGCCCAGGCTGGAGTGCAGTTGGCACACTCACAACCACGCCAGCATGGATCTGCTGGGCTCCAACAATCCTTCTGCCTCAGTCTTCCAAGTAGCCAGAACTACAGGCGTGCGCTACCACACCCAACTAATTTTTGATTTATGGTAGAGATGAAGTCTCGCCAAGTTGCCCGGGCTGGTCTTGAACCCTCAGGCTCAGGCCATCCACTTGCCTCGGCCTCCCAGTCCTGGGATGACAGGCCGAGCCGCTGAGCCTGGTCACTTTACCCATTTTACAGATGGAAAAAAAAACCAGGGCACAGAGATGTTAAACAAGGGGTCCCAATTCCCATAACCAGGACATGCCAGGATCAGGATCGGAACCTGTGATTAATCACTACGTGAACTTCCTGCCACATAAAGCCAATGGATCTCGAGTTTGGGGGACCCACAGAAATCCCCTTGAGACCTTACTAGAAGCACAGAACCAAAGTCCCACCGAGGACTACGAATGTTTTCTCCAGTGCACAGAAGAAAGATAGAAATACCTAAAAACACCACCAGTAGTTCTGAGTGGTGAGGCTGTGGGAGGTCTTTTCCTTCTTTGTTTTTCTCTGAGCCAAATTTTCTCCACGTGTGCATTTATCCCTTTTAGAATGAAATTCAGATACTGAATTTTATACAACAACCTTGTAAATAGGTGGATGAGGAAAGACACAAGCGAACGCCGGGGGTACATGGGCAGAAAAGGCAGCACACGTGAACATGAACACCAGGCCGATGAGGATTTGTAGGCTCTCAGCCAGGGGAAGCGGTTCATGCCTGAGATCACAGCACTTTGGGAGGCCAAGGCGAGAGGATCGCTTGAGCCCAGGAGTTCAAGAACAGCCTGGGCAATATAGTGAGACCTTGTCTCCACCAAAAAATAGAAAAATCAGCCAGGCATGGTGACACGTGCCTGTAGACCCGGCTACTCAGGAGGCTGAGGAGGGAGGAGCGCCTGAACCCAGGAGGCTGAGGCTGCAGTGAGCCATAATCTTGCCACTGCACTCCTCCAGCCTGGGAGACAGAGGGAGAGAGACCTCGCCACAAATTAAAAGAGGAAAAAAATGAGCTGGGAGTGGTGGTGCATTCCTGTAGACCCAGCTGCTCAGGAGGCCGAGGCAAGAGGACTTCTTGAGCCCAGGAGGTTGAGGCTGCGATAAGTGGTGTTTGTGCCACTGTACTCCAGCCTGGGTGCCAGAGTGAGACCCTGACTCAAAAATAAAAAAAAAAAAAAGGAAGTCCTGAAAATGCAAAAAAAGTAAGTAAGCCCTGACCAGTAGCCAGGGAGCCGGGCCCAGTTCTGATTCAGAAACACGGTCCAAGAGCCAAGACATACTTCAGACGTCAACATGTGCGATCCTGCCACCAAGCCCGTAGGAAGCAAGCCCTGCAGCCTCAAATGTTGTCCCATTCGGTGAAAAGGGACTTCGAGGCAGAGGCGGGTGGTAGCTTTACCCCACCATTAGCTGCAGAGGAGAAAAGAAAGAGGCGCTGATTTCTAGCTCAGCGGCACCAGCAAGCCAGAGCCAGGGCGGGAGGAACAAACCACACTATAATTAGCAAATATCTCCAAGAAGCCAGATGAATTCGCTGTGGAGAAAAAAACCGTGACTGTGCAGAGTAATTAGAACTTGTCTCTGAGCACCATAACAGGTGTGCATATGGGAAGGGAGGGGCCTCCTTGTGCCTTGACTTTGAGAGACAGAACAACAACTAGCATCTGAAAACAGAAAATGCTACGTGTGTGGCAAATGGAACAAAGAAGTGGGAACATGGCTTCGGTCTCTAAGGAAAGGGGTTCAGGCCAGTTAGAAGGCAGCCACTCCAATATGTGAGCATGCTCAGAATTTACGATTCACTTAGGGGCACGTCCACACTGCAGCCTAAGTCCCTCCTAAATCTCCTCCCAGGAAGACACTGAAACTTTCATGCCATGCCTCTGTCTCAGGGGCTCTTAAGAAAAATTTTAAGGCCAGGCTTGGAGGCTCACGCCTGTCATCCCAGCAGTTTGGGAGGCTGAGGCAGGAGGACTGCTTGAGCCCAGGAGTTCGATACTAACCTGGGCAACATAGTGAAACTCCATCTCTACAAAAAAACAGAAAAACCAGCCCAGCTTTGTGGTGCATGGCTGTAGTCCCTGCTACTTGGGAGGCTGAGACAGAAGGACTACCTGAGCCCAGGAGTTGAAGGCTGAGGTCGGCCATCATTGTGCAAGAAAAGAAAAATTTGATCATCAGGAAGCTAGAACATACATGCAGACACTGGATGTTCAGCTAAAGCCCATCAGAATTACCCATGACTGGCTGGGCACAGTGGCTCAAGCCTGTAATCCCGACCCCTTGGGAGGCTGACGCAGGAGGATCACTTGAGTCCAGGAGTTCGATACTAGCCTGGGCAACACAGCGAGACCTCATCTCTACAAAAGAAGAAAAATCAGCCAGTCTTGGTGGTGCACGCCTGTAGTCCCAGCTACTCGGGAGGCTGAGGTGGAAGGATTGCCAGAGCCCAGGAGCTGGAGGCTGCAGTGAGCCATGATCGTGCAAGAAAAGAAAAATTTGACAATCAGGGTGCTAGAACATAGGTGCAAACACTGGGTGTTCAGCTAAAGCCCATCAGAATTACTCATGACTGGCTGAGCACAGTGGCTCAAGCCTGTAACACCAACACTTTGGGAGGCCGAGGCAAGAGGGTTGCTTGAGCTCAGGAGTTCCAGACCAGTCTGGGCAACATAGCAAGACCTCAATCCTACAAAAAAAAAAATAATAATAAAAAAGTTAGCTGGGCATGGTGGCATGTACCTGTAGTCACAGCTACTCAGGAAACTGAGGAGGAAGGATCATCTGAGACCCACAGGTCAAAGCTTCAGTGAGCCTTGATTATGTCAATGTATTCCAGCATTGGTGATAGAGTGAGACCCTGACTCAAAAAAAATAATAATAATTTGACTATCAGAACGCTAGAATATATGTGAAAATATTGAGTGCCCAGCTAAAGTCCATCAGAATTGCCAATGAGACCCTTTATCCGATGTTTAGGGTTTGGATCGCCTGCCAAGGACTTTTCAGTCCATTTGTTGTTGTTGTTTGGGACTCAACTTATTTTTAAGAATTAAAACTGGCCGGGTGCAGTGTCTCACGCCTATAATCCCAGCACTTTGGGAGGCCGAGGTGAGAGGACTGCCTGAGCCCACGGGTTCGAGACCAGCCCGGGCAACTTAGACCTTATCTCTACAATAAATAAATAAATAAACAAACTAGCCAGGTGTGATGGCGCATACCTATAGTTCCAGCTACTTGGATGGCTGAGGCAGAAGGATCACCTGAGCCCAGCAGGTAGAGGCTGTGGTGGCTGGGAACGTGCCACTGCCCTCCAACCTGGGTGACGGAGTGAGACTCCGACTCCAAAAAAAAAAAAAAAAGAAAAAGAATTAACTATCTTTACTGAGACACAGACTGGGTAATCCTATAATCATATGCTGCTAATGAAAAGCCGATTTCTCAAATCAAACAGGGTTTAATCAGTCTTTGATCAAGGAATAGGCTGGTTCCAATCAACCGCCACTCGACGTCAGCAGTTCTCAGTGGGATGGGGAAGGGAGGTGATATCATACGAAGACGGCTTCTCCAAATTATACCCTCTATGGTCCCCACCACGCGCTGATCTAGGCAGAATAGGCAACCACACCTGAACTGTCTCGTCTGTGTCTTGCAGTCATCCCCTGCCTGATAAGTCACCAGCTGCACCCTCAACCCCTCTCGCCAGCGGCATCCAACCTCTTAGTTTCCATTTTCAAAATGCATTTCCCGGTCGGACATGGTGGCTCACGCCTGAAATTCCAGCTAATATATGGAGGGTACCCCCAAAATGTATACACATTTTAAGAAAGGAAAACACTGTATTAAAATTATAATACTCGCCAGACGCAGTGGCGCACGCCTATCATCCCAGCACGTTGGAAGGCAGAGGCAAGAGGACTGTTTGAGCCCAGGGGTTCGAGACCTGCCTGGACAACTTGGTGAGACCTTGTCTCTACAATAAATCAAAAAATTAGCTGAGCGTGGTGGTGGCTGCCTGTAGCTCCAGCTACTTGGAAGGCTGAGGCAGAAGGATCACCTGAGCCCAGCAGGTCGAGGTTGTGGTGACCGTGAGCATGCCACTGCCCTCCAGCTTGGGCAACAGAGTGAGGTCCAACTCAAAAAATATATACATATATATAATACTCAATATACACCAATAACAAAAGATGAGTACAAGTCACGGTTGACAACTGCAGTTACAAGAGGTGCTCACAGTGGTCACCATCAGTGTCCAGACACTTTCCATTATGGGAGACATCTCAACATCACTTAAGACGTGTCTACATTTTTTTGGCAATCCTAGCATGTTTAAAACAGCCCCCTGAGTTTCCCTGCACCACTTCTGAGTGGCTGGAAACTTTGTCCACGTCCTCCTCTCCTCCAGCTTCCTGACAGCAGAACACACAAAACCGAGCCCGGCCCCATCTAGGAGACCCGGAGAAAATGACCCTGGTGGGGCTGGTCAACACCAAGTCCAGCTGGGACCTAGACCGGACATCCCACACAGAGATCTGCCCGGGCGAGGGGGTCCCTTCTCCCTCCTCCCTGAGACTGTCTTTGATCCCGAGACGCCTGGCAGGAGTGCTCCCTTACTTGGGGAAATGGGTGAGGATCAGAGTTCGCTTCTCCAGTGGCAGTTTGTCCTTCTCCTGTCTTGCTTGTTCCAGGAGCTGTCGCCTCATGACGGTGAAGACCGAGCGGAGCAGCGTCCTTCCGAACACCTGTGTGGTTTCGTACCGAGGTAGACTGTCGCAGAACTGGGGCACGTGGCAGTAGCACAGCCACCTGCGACAGGACAGGACAGGCCCCATCAGCATCCCGAAAGCCTCCCCCGGCCACCCGAAATAGCCAGTGACGGCCACTCGTGTCCTGGGAACCAGGGCAGGAAAACGAGGCCTGCCATTTCACCACCAGCTGGGAAAGCCTGGAAATTCCATGAACTTGGCCTTCCCCTGTCACTTGGGTCCAAGGGTGTGGAAACCACCCTGTGCTGCAGCATTGGGCAGTGAGGCCTGGAGCCAAACAGGGCCGGATCGAATCCCTGCTGGGCCACTCCGCCGGACCCATAACTCTGATGCTCTTCCGCTTCCATTCCCTTACGGGGACAGCCGTCATACCTGCTTCACGGGGTTCTTGTGAGCATTAGGTGAGATATTGTATGTAACAGGCATTGTGTAAGTCCAAGTTTTGGGCACATATGTGGTGGTTGAAATCGAAGAAAAAAATTAATGGTCAGACGTGCTGGCTCACGCCTGTAATCCCAGGACTTTGGGAGAGTTACTTAAACCCAGGAGTCTGAGATCAGCCTGGGCAACAGAGTGAGACCTGGTCTCTAAAAAAAAAAAAAAAAAAAAAAATCAAGAAACTCTGGGCACGGTGGCGTGCACACCTATGGTCCCAGCTACTCAGGAGGCTGAGGCAGGAGGATTGCTTGAGCGCAGGAGTTTAAGGCTGTGGTGAGCCATGATTGTACCACTGCAATCCAGCTTGGGCAACAAGGTGAGACCCTAACTCAAAAAAGGAAGAAGAAGAGGAAGAAAGAAAAGAAAAAATAAAAGAAGACACCGAGGAAGTCTCTTCCATGAAGGAATCAGAATTCAACACCTCATCCTCTGAGTCTTCTTAAAATTGCCTAAGTCTTGAAATTGCCTAAGTCTTCTTGAAATTGCCCACCCAGCACGCAGACATCACAGAATCTTTGGTGGAAGATAAAGATCTTCAAGATAGTCTAAACTCAGCAAAATGCAGGAAGCGAGACACTTCCACCATCTGTGGCTTCGGTACACTTTTCCGTGACTCAGACTCACAGTCAGAAATGCACGTCAGTGGCCTGGCATGGTGGCTCACGCCTGTCATCTCAGCACTTTGGGAGGCTGAAGTGGGAGGATCGCGTGAGGCCAGGAGTTGGAGATCAGCCTGGGCAACATAGCGAGATCTCGTCTCTACACAAAAATTCAAAAATTAGTCAGGTGTGGTGGCATGCGTCTGTCATCTCAGCCACTCAGGAGGTTGAGGCCAGAAGATCACTTGAGCCCAGGAGTTCAAGGCTGCAGTGAGCTATAATCATGCCTCTGCACCCCGGCCTGGGCGACAGGGAGACCCTGTGTCTAAAAATAAAGTAAAACAAAATAAATTCTAAAAAAGAATAAGATAGATTTAAATCCTTTTTTGTTTTAGTTGGAGTCTCACTCCATCACCCAGGCTAGCGTGCAGTGGCACACTCACAGCCACCCCAGCCTCGACCTGCTGGGCTCCAGTGATCCTTCTGCCTCAGCCTTCCAAGGAGCTGGAACTACAGGCGCGCACTATCACGCCCGGCTAATTTTTAATTTATTGCAGAGACGAGGTCTCACCAAGTTGCCCAGGCGGGTCTCGAACCCATGTACTCAGGCAATCCACTCACCTTGGCCTCCCAAATTGCTGGGATGACAGGCTGAGCCACCGAGCCTAGCCAAAAAAAAATTTTTTAAATGCACTTCAGCACAGCACGAGACTGGAAGAGGACCCTGCACAGAGGGAGGCCAGGGCTTTTCTTGAGACCTGACACCAGTCCTCGGGTAGGCAGGCTACGCAGAAAAAGTCCGCCCACAAACAGCCCTCTTTCTGAGATGGAAGGTCTGACATTCCCAGGTCCTAGCGGCAAGACTCGGGCATGGCAGTCACAGAGGGTGCCACCCAGCCAGGAGGGCAGGAAACTCCTTGTTTCTCGGCGGCAGATCCAATCACTCTCTCCCAGGATGGGGCTGGTTTCCAGAAATTAAAGCCCTTCCTGGCTGCAGTGTTCCTGTCCCCCTGCACAGCTGGAAATCCTCTCTGATATGCCCAAGGTGCTCCCAGAATTGCCATGAGCTTGAAACCCCTTAGCGACAAATGAACAATGAGGCACTCATGCCTATCGAACCATTTTCTTTTTCATTCTGTATTATATAATATTCCACCTGTCTGTGTGGGGGTGTGGGGGCTGGAACCATGTGTCACCTTTGCTGGAAAAGACTTTTCCCAGTGTTAGTTCATCTACCTAGATTCAAAATTAATCTTAAAACTTGGCCACGATTTCTCTTCAACTTTTTTCTCTTAATAATTTACACCCACGGCTGGGCGCGGTGGTTCACGCCCGTAATCGTAACACTTTGGGAGACCGAGGTGAGAGGATTGCTTGAGCCCTGGAATTCAAGATCAGGCTGGGCAACGTAGCGAGACCTTGTTTCTAGACAAAATAAATAGATAAATAATGATTTGCACTCAAACATCATCTCATATTTATAGCACTGAAATGGGTGTCTTAAGTGTGGTATCTTGTTTGAAACAGTGATCTTGGTAGGAGAAAACACTAGAAAGTGCATTTGTTTTGTAATTCATAAGGCAGTGTCCATAGAAATTTATCATCTCGGAGGTTTCTCTCACCCATGCCAGCTCTAGCATGTCTCTCTTTTCTTCCTCTCTTCTTTCTCTAATAAACTTTGTTTTAAAACTTAAAAAAAAGGAAAAAGAACAGCTGGGCTTGGTGGCTCATGCCCTAACCCCAGAACTTTGAGAGGCAGAGGCAAAACAATTGCCTAAGCCCAGGGGTTCTAGACCAGCCTGAGCAACATGGTGAGACCTCATCTCTACAATAAATAAAAAAAATTCGCCAGACATGGTGCCATGCGCCTGTGGTTCCAGCTACTTGGAAGGCTGAGGTAGAAGGATCGCCTGAGCCCAGCAGGTGGAGGCTGCGGTGGCTGTGAGTATGCCACTGCACTCCAGCCTGGGCAGCAGAGTGAGTCTCCAACTCAGGAAAAAAGAAAGAAAAAAAAGAAAGAAAGGAAGGAAGGAAGGAAGGAAGGAAGGAAGGAAGGAAGGAAGGAAGGAAGGAAGGAAGGAAGGAAGGAAGGAGGGAAGAAAGAAAGAAAGAAAGAAAGAAAGAAAGAAAGAAAGAAAGAAAGAAAGAAAGAAAGAAAGAAAGAAAAATGCATCACCTTCACAGTCAGACTTTGCTGGATATTAATCTGTGGCTTTAATGAAACTAAAAGAATGTTTGGGCTGAGAGGAGGTTGACTTCCAAAGAACTAATTATGAAACTGTGAATGTGGAGTGAAACAGTCAGAAACCCTGGTCATCAGAAGTTTAATTTCACGAGACAGGCTATCGCAAGACTGTCTATAAGTCATAACACAGCCATGCCTTGTTTCACGACAGGGATTCATTCTAAGAAATGAGTCATTAGGTGATGGTGTGACCGTCAGAGAGGACACTGAGACAAACCCAGATGGGACAGCCCACTGCACACCTGGGCCTCAGGGCAACACGCCCACACCGCATGTGACCGTGCTGAGTGCTACAGGCAGCTGTAACACAGTGTCACGTATTTGTGTATCTAAACATCACTGGACACAGAAAGGTCCAGTAAAAACACAGTAGGATGATCTTATGGGTCCATCATTGACTGCAGTGTTTTTATGCAGAGAATGATTGTATTAAAATTAACAAAATATGTTCAATCTTCTTCAATGGAAGATATAAGGATTTAGACCAGGTCTGTCCAAAAGCTTTCCATGATGAGGGACCATTCTATATCCGGGCTGTGTGATACAGTGGCCAGCAGCCACAGGTTAACTAGTGATATGTGGCTGGTATGACTGAGAACTTGACCTTCTCGTTTTATTTTTTCATTTTTAAATGAAAAGTGTAAAATTTTTTTCCATTAAGCACAACTATTGTTCTAGTAGGATTCCACTTGGCCTCAGGTATTTAAAAATTATATGCTGAATTAAAATGTGCTGAAAGTGTACAAATCACACTGGATCTGGAAGACAATAAAAAAATAGAAAGTGAAACTTCTTCCTTAATAACTTTCCTCAGCCAGGCGTGGTGACTCATGCTACAATCCCAGCACTTTGGGAGGCAGAGGTGAGAGGATTGCCTGAGCCCAAGGGTTCGAGACCAGCCTGGGCACCTTGGTGAGAACTGGTCTCTATAATAAAACAAAAAGTTAGCCGGGCTTGGGGGCACGTGCCTGTAATTCCAGCTACTTGGAAGGCTGAGGTGGAAGGAATGCCTGAACCCAGCAGGACGAGGCTGTGGTGGCCATGAGCATGCCACTGCACTCCAGCCCAGGCAACAGAATGAGACTCCAACTCAAAAATAATAATAATTTAAAAAAACTTTTCTCGTGGATTACATGATGAAATGATAATATTTTTGATATATTGGGTAAGATAAAATATATTATTAACATTAACTTCCTGTATCTATTTATCCTAAAAGTAACTCCTAAAAATTTTTAAATTACCTTTGTGGCTTGTATTTCTGGCTCACATTACATGTCTATTGGGCGGTGCTGACTCAGAGTTGAAAGAGGATTGTCCTCTGTGTAATTGACGTTCTTTCTGCTTCAGAGACGATTGGTTTTATTATCATAAAATCATAAAGTGTTACCCAAAAGTGCTTACCGGGTCATTCCGTCTTCTCAGGGTAGAGGAAGACCACGGAGATTGCTGTTATCTAGTAAAATTTTCCAGATAACAGGCTGCCAATCAGTTCCTCGGGCAGTCATTTTATAGACCTCGATTTATACTTTTTAGTTTAGTCGTGCTTTTATTTCCAGCATTAATCTTATTTTAAGTGAATACTAGGTAAGACGAGGAGACCGAGCCGATGTGTATGTGTGTGTTTCTGGAGTTGTTTTCTTTTCCTTTGTCTTCTGGTGTTTTTATTTCATTTTATTTATTTATTTTGAGTGGGAGTCTCACTCTGTCACCCAGGCTGGAGTGCAGTGGCATGCTCAGGTCACCGCAGCCTCGACCTGCTGGGCTCCAGCGATCCTTCCGCCTCAGCCTTCCAAGGAGCTGGGACTACAGGCATGAGCCACCATGCCCAGCTGATTTTTTGATTTATTATAGAGATGAGGTCTTTCCAAGCTGCCCAGGCTGGTCTCAAACCCCTGGTCTCAGGCAATTCTCTCGCCTCCACCACCCAAAGTGCTGGGATTATAGGCATGAGATACCACATCTGGCCCAAGGCCTTATTTCTATTTTTACTGCCCCTTTAGGATTTATAAGTGCCACTCATTTCTTGGTAAGGCCCAAATGCTGCTGCTTATTTTTATTCTACTTTCTAAAATACAGTAATGTCTCCCAAGAATCTTCAGAGTTAATCCTCCTTTTTCTTTTTTTCTTTTTTTTTTTTGA